TTGATCTGTTTGACAGTCGGCCCGGCTCGCGGCCGGCGGCCCCCCCCCCCCCCCCCCCCCCCCCGTGTCTACAATCGTTGCAGTAGGCAGTGTACAGGTTCAAGGTAGGAGGCTAGGCCTCAAGTACTCATGAAACCTGGGCATCCAGCAGACCATGCTCAAGAAGGGTGGGTTGAGCAGCCAGTGGTGGCCAAAGGTCATTGCAGACAGGCAACAGGAACAGATCACGAATCAAAGTCTCACTTGGCCTTGTAGCAAGAGCGGCAGCGGTAAGATGCTTCCTTGAAGCTGCCTGGTGGGGGAAGAGCGTGTGGAGTGCATGCGACACTCCACTTAACAGAACGATACTTAGTGCTCACTCCCACGGTGTTATCTCCGTCCAAGGCAGGGTGGGGAAAAAGGGCAATACAACTTGGGTGCCAAGCGACTAATAGAGAACAGGGAGCTCGCAGTGCGCGGCCTGAATGGCCTACTTGCATAAGTGTTCAGTCACAGAGGAAGTGCAAAGGTTGTGCTATCAGCTCTGAACCTGGAAAGCTCTCCACAGCTGACTTAACCAAAACTTGTCTGGAAAGCAAATTCAACATATTGCAACACCGCTCCTTCACGGCCACGAGTGCACGCTTGCTGAGCTCGTCCACACTCGGCTCAGTCCTGTCCTTGGTTTGCCCCTCTAACCCGTTTCAACCTATCCAGGGCTTCCTGTGTACGTCAATGGAGGACGGAGATCTGTATTTCAAAATGTGTTTAAGAAGCTGTATACAGGGAGACATGCTGCTGCTTGACCGTAGTCTTGCCAGCCTGCCATGTGCGCTCCCTCAGTAGGGCTACCTCTCAGGCATATCTAATAGAAAGCCCAGTGGCCAACTGGAAGGGCTTGCACGGCAAGCTGACAACTCGGCTGCTAATTGCAAGATGACGGCAATGAGACATGATGCCAAACATAATAGATTTAGGGTTTACATACACTTTAATGACAAAAGGAATGCAGATCAAAACCATGCTAAACGGATTGATATACGACCGTGTATGCTGCAGCTATTATTAGTCTCAGTATTGTTTATAGAGCATATAGAATTTTTGTTTTTAGTACATCCCTCCCATTTAATACTAGAATTGTAAAAGATTTAATTGGCTTTGTTCTGCAACTGTGTCCTTGGTTAGGGTTAGCTCTTGCTTTTTGCATTCTTGATTTTGGATGTACTGTATGTTTGTAAAATGTTGTTGTATTATGTGTGTTGATCCAGAGCACATCCAGCAGATCATGACCTTGGGGGAATCTGTCCAGCAGGCTGTCATGGAATCCATCCAAGAAGTAAGTAGAAGAACTCTTGCTTGGTTCCTCTTGTAATGATGGTACATATTTGAATGCTTAAATATGTTTAAAATGTATGTAAACCCCAACAATGAGCTTCTATTTTTTTTAAATCACTTTATCAGTTACATTGTATCCAGTTGTTCCTAACTACAGAACCCCTCTCCTATGTTATAGGGATGAGTAGAAGAGGGAGGTGTTCTGTATTTCTAATACACTTCCTGTCCTAGGGTGACAATGCTGCTCCTCCATAGATAACAGTAGGGTGAGCGTTGTCACCTTAGATACTAAGATAACATATTTTTTAATCATAATGGTGCTTTAAATAGTGCTTGCAAAAATTCTGATGTGTTTTGTGTGAATTGCCTCCCTTCAGCTCCTGAGTAAGGAACCTCCTGGTGCTGCGACACCCGACAGTTACGTCAACTATGATAGTCAGGTGAGTGAAGTGTTTGGCCTGAAGAAAGCAGAGCTCTGTGCAGTCTACCACCTAAGTCCTACAATAATACTGAGATTATTATGACTGATGCTTGTAAGAAAGGAAAATGTTTGCCCTTTATTGACCATCACCGTCTTGATAAGCGTCAGTCATGAAGCTTGGCGTTAGTCTACGCCAGGGGTGTCCAAACTCCGGCCCTCCAGCTGTGATGAAACTACAAATCCCATGATGCATCCCTCTCCGGGAGTCATGTCTGTGCCTGTGAGAATCTTGCAATGCCTCATTGGATTTGTAGTTCCACCACAGCTGGAGGGCCAGAGTTTGGACACCCCTGGTCTACGTCATTGTTTCTAGCCGATCGCCGCCCTCTAGTGGACATATTTGTAAAGTGCAGAAAAGCTTGAGTGACTTCATAGGTCATAGAATGAACACACTGAAGGTATATTAAAACAGACTTTCCTTTTCCTCTTCTTTTTCATTCTCCTTTCTACCCCTTCTGACTCTCCCATTACTTTTTTAAAATTCTCTCTCTTCCAGTCACGTAAATATTACTACATCAGTGAGGACACAGATGAGAAAAGTGACATCCTGCAGCGCTGTCATGACTTGGAGCAGCAGGTACGTGTGTACTTGTGATACATGACCTGTATCACTCACTGTTGATGATCGTGTTCCTTCTACTGCTCAGCACAGCACTGGTGTTTGTGGTGGTGGTGTATTCTGCTTTTGCTGGTTTAGAAGCCGCCCCCACCCCCCAATGCTGCAGTTTTCTTCCTAGGGCAGCTCCAGCATACACCAGTCATTGTAGCACACAGATACAGGGATCGGTGTGTAAATAACACTTGTCGCTATGCTCATATTTTATATTATTTTTACCATCAACAATTGCCTGAACCATTTTGCCCCATGGTGTTACCTCCAGTACATGTTGCACCCATATATTTATGGAAGGCTTCCAACATACAGCCACAGGAAAGTGAGCACTGACAGGTTATTACCCATATAGGCTGCTCTCCACACTCCCCTGCCAAACTGCACAGCCAGACAGTTTACAACCACAGGGCACAATCGATGGTTTGTCACTGCTTGTTGTGTGTATTGGCATCTTCACACTGCCCTGTACATTGGCAGGCAGGTGACACAGGAAGCTGCAGTTGTTGTAGACTCTGGTATCATCTTCCTGGCTGTCCTATGTAGCAGAGGTGCATGAAGTGCAAGACTGGCTGAACAGAATAGCCCTTTTTGTTCACAGATGCCTATTTAAATTCTGCACTCCGCTGTTTGCCTGACGTTGCTTATCAATATCTATACAGATACATAGCTAACTGTGCTACTAGTTGAGAAGAATTATTTGTGCTGAAGCTTTGGCATTCAAGTTGTACAATAGAAATGTGAAAACTGGATTGAGCGTACAAAATGGAGTCAGATCCAGCTGCCAATAAAATGCTTGCCTTCTACCCTGGTTATGTTTAATTGCACCAGTTTTCATAAATGTCTCCTATTTTGTTTTTGATTTACTAATAAATAATCTTCAGTCAGAAGTGTGCGGTTGCACATGGCTGATAAATAATGAGTGCTACCTATGCGTTACTGATATCATGTTATATAATTGGGGTTACCATGCCAATATTTCCTAAGACAGCTTTCCAAGATTCAGATTTGGTCCCAAGTCCAAATAAACTCGCATTGCATAGGCTTTAGAATGGGTACACACAGTGGCGTCACAAGGGGGGTGCGGCCTGCACCCGGGTGACACCATTGGAGGGGTGACACCAAAATGACTTGCAGTACTCTTGACTTAGTCATTTTGGTGTCTCGGGGTGACACTCGGACACCGCTCCGGGTGTCACCCAGCCTCGGGACGCCCCTGGGTTCACAGTCTATTCACTAGAGACCAGTGACATCACTGAGATCCTTCATATTCATGAGAACACAGCCCGTCCATTCACTAGAGACCAGTGACATCACTGAGATCCTTCATATTCATGAGAACACAGCCCGTCCATTCACTACAGACCAGTGACATCACCGAGATGCTTTATATTCATGAGAACACAGCCCGTCCATTCACTAGATACCTGTCGCACACTTAATACCCGTATTGCATATTTTCTTCTTCTTTCAAATAAAGTATGTTCGGATCACAGCTTCCATCACACTGATAAAAAGATTTTTCAATTGGCGGGTTCTCTTGAAACAAGCTGTGACTATTGGTGTTTTTGTACCCCTATATTACATAACTGATATCAGCCAGTGTGTTGACTGACCTGCAGCCTGTGGTGTTGGGGTCGGGTGTCTAAGATCTCCCTCTTCATTGAGTGATTTTGCCCTCTAAAAAGGTTTTAAGCTGAGTTTGGTGTGACATCTGGAGATGTGGGTGAGTTTAATACCTGCCTTTTATCTGCTACCTCTAACCGTAACTTTCCGCATGTCTGCAATGGTTATGCCATGCCTGCTAATCTAACCCAGTGCAGTACCCCCTGCTGAAGTGCAAGGGGGGCCGCCTTGACACTTAAACTTGCTTGGACTGTGTATGCTTGTATGCCCTTGTGCGTAACGGGTCATGTGGCCCATGTCGTCCTAAAACATATGTTTCTAATACTATGTGTGTTTTATGAAGTGCAAACCAGATGCCCAGTGAGTGTCGGCCATTTATTGTTGGGCAGCATCAGGGGCTGACAAGACAGCTCGTTAAGTCACTAGGGTATTGGAGACATCATGGAAACTCAATATATCAGTATATTAGAGCAGTCAAGGCTAAAGTTGAGTCATTTAGGGGTACTTGCTAGAAGATTAGATGACCCTACCAAACCTGCATTGCAGAGGTGGGGTGATGATGACTCTGAAAGAAAGGTAACACACTGCTGCATGTATACCGACACATCCCACACCTAGCTCTGTGCATGGCACTAGCTGTATACCCTACTGCACTATGGTTACTTCCTCCCCCAGGTTCTGTTGTCCAACTGCAAAAGAATGGTCAGAACAAGGTCCACTATAGCCTGAGGCAATTCTCTCTATTGCTGATGTCATGACAGGTCCTCTTAGAATTCCTAAAATGAGAAGGTCATATTTAGAACGATCTTCTCTTTGACTTGCGTTCAGCAGGCCCCATACATTATACTGCAGTTATCTATACCTGGGATAGGTTAGCTATTGATGATGATGATTTTCATTCCCGTTAAAGTAACTTGTCATGAGAGATGTATGGTAGCTGACCTCTGCCTGATGATGCTTGTTGCCTGTTGACCCGTGACATCATTGTCCTGGGACAGGTATACCGAGCAGGGACCATGATCAAGTCCAGAATCTTCATTTCTATACCAGTCAGTGGCTGTAAGGGGGTCAGAACGGCAGCCAGGCAACTAGTGTTTTCCGAGGTAGGGCTCAGCAGGGTTGGCCTTCATGTTCCTCTCATGACCTAGTTCCTTGAAGGATCCCTGTGTTGAGGAGAGGGGATGCCATTCCTGTACTCTTGTATTTCTAGTTTCAGGCCGTCATGCTCATTCAAGGGTTTGAGAACCTTTCTGTGTTACTGAAAACAAGTATTTGGATCAGGAGATTGACGTTCTCAGAACAAGTATACTGCATAAGGCAGAATAGAGTCAGAAGTCCTTATTTGTTTACTTGTTCTGGGCCATCGACTCAAGACAGAAGCTTATCATGACTTCCAGCCAGCTGAGGCCAGCAATGGCACCCCCACATTTCTCTCAAGGGTTCCCTTTTCAGCCTTAGTCTTTCACCACAATGTATCAGCTGCAGGATGACAGGTCCTCTTTTTTAATATCGCTCTCCTCTTCATTCATTCCTGTTTCTCACACTATGGGGTCCTGGTGCCCCTCTCTCCCTCTCTCCCCCTCTCCCTTTTGTCCCCTTCCATTTGCTCTGTAAGGTCTCAATGCTCGCGGAGGAGAAGCGGAGCCTGGTGTCGGAAAACAGAGCCCTCCGGGAGCAGCAGGAGGATGATGGAATGGGTTCGCCCCAGATGTTTAGCAAGAAGGTGCTTCTACTGCAGAGTCAGATCGAGCAGCTACAGGAGGAAAGCTACAGGTATGCAAGAGCAGGATGAGCGCTCGACTGCACATCACCTAATGGTAAAGAATGTTGTAGATCAGGGGTGGGCAACTCCGGCCCTCCAGCTGTTGTTGAACTACAAGTCCCATAAGGCATTGCAAGACTCTGACAGCCACAGGCATGACTCCCAGAGGCCGAGGGATTATGGAATTTGTAGTTAAAGCAACAGCTGGAGGGCCGGAGTTGCCCACACTCGTTGTAGATACTCTACCGAGTGATAGTGATGCCGAGAGATTCTCAGTAGTGCGACAGATGTTGGAGTGTGTGACGGATTCATGTACATGGCGGAATTATGTATTTGGATCTGCCTGAAAACTGTTGCATGCAATACATCCATGAAGTGGAGGACTTTCACAAGTGGAGTAGATGTTTGGAAAACCTTGAGGATGGATGGAATGTTACCAAATTATATAAAACTATATACAGTCATGTGGAAAAAGAAAGTACACCCTCTTTGAATCCTATGGGTTTTTGTAAATCATTGTGTCCTTAGCAGGTCTTAAAATCAGGTAAATACTAGGGATCCACCGATACCGATACTAGGATCTGATACTCAGATTTTGGGCGCGTACTCTTACTCGCCCAAATGCTCCAATAATTACTTCCGATATCGGAACTTCCAGTCTGAGGGAGATCTCCCTCTGATCGGCAGTGCCAAGGGAGCATGGGGCCGGCTTCCTTTCCAATCAGGAAGCTGGGCGTTGGGTTATGACCCACCTCCCGGCTTCCTGATTGGCTAAGAAGCCAGCTTCCCTTGTTGCTAGGAAGCCTGGCTTCCTAACCAATCAGGAAGCTGGATGGGCACGTAATGACCCTCCTCCCGACTTACTAATTGGTCAGAAAGCCAGGCTGCCTAGTAACAAGTGAAGCCAACTTCCTAGCCAATCAAAATACCGGTCGGCACATCATGACCCGCCTCCCTGATTTGGATGGGAAGTCGGCTTCACTTGTTAATAGGCAGCCTGGCTTCCTGACCAATCAGGAAGCCAGAAGGCACCTCGTGATCCGACGCCCGGCTTCCTGATTGGCCAGGCAGCTTCAGCAAGCGAAGCCGGTGTTCTTTCGATAGAACACTAGCTTCCCAGGCAATTTGGTGAACCCGGGTAACGGGGTCATGATTCACCACCCAACATCCTGATAATTGGGGCACACGGCACTGGTATCGGCGAGTACCAAAATATCAGTACTTGATACCAAAAAGCTGGTATCGGTGCATCCCTAGTAAATACAACCTCAGATGAACAACACACAACATATTACACCGTGTGGCGAAGTCATGTACGAAAAACTAAGTACATCTTGTGATTCCATAGCTTGTAGAACCCCCTTTAGCAGCAATAACCTGAAGTCATCATTTTCTGTGATGTTATCAGTCTCTCACTTCATTATGGAGGGATTCTGGCCCACTCTTCTTTACAACGTTGCTTCAGTTCATTGAGATTTGTGGGCATTTGGTTATGCACAGCTCTCTTAAGGTCCCACCACAGCATCTGGTTGAGGTCTGGACTTTGACTGGGCCATTGCAACACCTTGATCCTTTCCTTTTTCAAATTTCTTGCATGGTTTACCACCACATCCCCAAGTGTTCATATCAGTAATATTCTGCTATATACTGTCTATATACCTTGCAACTGTTTACAGAGCATGCTGATCTTGCAGTCCCTTGTTGCTCTTTTTTGGTCTCCCGGTCACATTCTAGGTTCAAGCGTATTAGATGCTTATTTCTGGATTGTAGGAAGGAACTGGCATTCATGGGCATAATACACAAATACACAGAGCATCCCATGTCCCATAACACAATAAGCAGAATCTTTCACCCATCTGAGTAGGCCGCTTCTGATTGGTGGATCGAAGTTGCTGGACTTTGAACATCATAAATCCTCTTGGCACAAGCCCAACCTTTTGATAAGGTGATTTACATGGAAGCAAACCTTGCATGAAAATACCGCATTGGAACACTATAATCTGCATTGCCTACCCAGCATTGAAGTATGCAGGTAAATATAGAATACATGATTGTGTCCATGTCATGAGTTTGGTCCTGTGCAGAAACGATAAAACCACCACTGAGATCTTAATCTGGCAGTGGGTGATATCGATAATCTCCTCCCAGCCAGGCAGAGAGAACTCCCGGATCTGGTCTCCTAGTCCGGAGTATCTGTAGAGGTAGGAGGCCTCCAGAACAGAACGTTCTCTCCCTGCTAATGGAATATCCACATACAGCAGCTTCGTAGGACACAGGTATACAGGGATAGTTTAGGAGACAACGTGAGTAAGCTGATGTGCACTATTATTTACTGATTGAGCCTTTTAAATATCTATTGCAAGGTAATTTCATAATTATATGTGACAGACCTGAGTGACTTCAGACAATAACAAATGTATCAACTTAATCTCTTAAAGGGTTATTAAACCTTCAGATGCTTTTGCATATATATCTTGCTAGGAAGCAGTAGATATATGCAAAAACCTTTTTTTTTTTTTTTTTTTAATAAGTGCACTTTGAAACAGGTTTAAACTTACCTGTGTCTTCACCGCAAGCTCCCGTCCGAAAATCTGAAAAATCTCGGGCGGCCGCAAAGGATCTTGGGGCGGGCGCATGCGCCGTTCAGATTTTCGTCCGGGAGACGAGGAGAGACACAAGGTAAGTCTATGGACAGCGGGCACCCGCATGCAGACACCGTGGGACAGGAAGTGCCAGCAAGGACAGAGGAGTCGGCGCTGGATCGGAGCAGCGCTGGAGAGAAGGCTGAAAAGGACAGGGAGGGAGAAGTTTAAATGCTGAGAATCAGCAAATACCGGCATTACAAAGCCTGATATAACTCGTCACGTACAGTGTACGTGGCCAGTCATATAGGCACAAAGTGACAAGACGTACACTGTACGTCTCCCGTCACAAAGGGGTTAAAGGAGAACTATGGGGTCAGGGCTTTTCCCCATAGTTCTCCTAAGGGTCACGGGAGGACACAAACTAGCGTCCTCCCGTGACCCAAAGCTCAGTATACCACGAGCTACAGCTCAAGGTATACCGAGACGACGCAGCCCGAACGGATCCCGACATTGCTGTCGAGATCCACCCAGCTGCGGGATTGACAGCTGGCTCTGCCTATCCAGAGGCAGATCCAGCTGTGCCCGCCCCCTACCCGTCCATTCCGCCAGTCAGCGCTGAAAGAGGGGGGGGGGAATCCCTGCAAGGAGCCGTGAGCGACTGTATGTGTTCGCTCACTTCACGATCTTCTGAGCCGACCTGTGACAGTTTCCATTGTCACAGGTCGGCTCAGATTATGAGGCTTAGTCAAAATCACTCGCCTCATAATTCTCCTTTTTTTTAAGAGGCATCATTTAGGGTAAGTGCTGACACTAACATTGGGGGGAGGGAAAAACATTTTTTAGACTTTAATGTCACTAAGTGAAAACTGCGTTCCAAAACGATTGGTAGATCCAGAGATCCAGACGTCTGAGATTAAAAGCAAATCCTAGATATTCCTATAAAAGTCCAGCTTTGTCTTTCTGACTCTCCCAGGTGTTCCTGTTCTTTTATAAGTGAGTCCAGTATGTTCTAGGGAGGGCTGCAGCAGTACAGGATGACAAATGATGATGATGCAAATCACAGCATACGCTTCCAAACAGGGCTATAGGTATATCCTCAAACACAGGTGGTCCATGTCCATCTGCAAGAGGCCTTAATGTGGACACCTATTCAGGTGACAATTGTTTTAAGTTGTCACCTGATCTCTTCTTTACTGTGGAGATTTCTACTCGCTTCCTGTTGAGTCTTCAAGCAGACAGCAAACATTTCTCCAAAGGGACACAAACAGAAATACAACTTGTTAATTTGGAATGGTCAATGACAACAACAAAAAAGTTTTGGATTTAGATATACTGTAAGCTGATGTGATTGTCTTTTAAGTGATAGCTATGTCCCGTATTTTCTTCAGGCTGGAGAGTGCACGGGATGACTACAGGCAGCGGTGTCAGGAGTTGGATCGGGAGGTGCAGGATCTACAGACACGTAACCAGGATCTCACCGGGCTGGCACACGAGGCCCAGTCACTGCGGGATGAGATGGATGTGCTAAGGTAAGGGGATATACTAGAAATGGAGAAACGGGATTGGAGG